ACAGAAATCAATAAATGTAATACTCATCGACAGAGCCAAGGACAAAAACTATATGATCATCTCAATAGATGCAGAAAAAGGATTTGACAAAGCCCAACACATATTCCTGATAAAAAAAAACCCTGCAGCAAATTGGAATAGATGGTCTTTATCTCAATCTGATAAAAGCCATCTATGACAAACCAACAGCCAATATCATACTAAGTGGTCAAAAACTGAAAGTGTTCATTCTAAAATCAGGAATAAGACAAGGATGTCTACTGTCACCGCTCTCATTCTGGAAGCATTAGAGAAATCAGACAAGAGAAAGAAATAAAAGGAGTAAGGATAGGAAAGGAAAAAGTTAAATTATCATTCTTTTGGGATGACATGATAGTCTACATAGAAGACCCCAAAAACTCAAACAAACTTCTAGATTTAATAACCAAATTCAGTAGCGTAGCTGGATACAAAGTCAACACTCAAAAATCAATAGCATTCTTATACACGAATAACAAACTCACTGAGAGAGAAATTAAGGAAACAACAGCCTTCAAAATAGCATCCAACAAAATGAAATATCTAGAAATAAATCTAATGAAGGAAGTAAAAGACCTTTACATGAAAAACTATAGTACTCTGAAAAAGGAGATTGAAGAGGGTATCAGAAAATGACCATACTCCCAAATATAAGAAAAATGGCCATACTCAGATTGTTACACACATTTAATGCAATCCTGATCAAAATTCCAACAACATATCTCACAGAAATAGAAAAAACAATCCTAAAACTCATTTGGAACCAGAAGAGACCTAGAATAGCAACAGCAATTCTGGGCAACAAAGGCAAGGCAGGGGGCATCACAATTCCTGACTTGAAATTATACTACAGAGCTACTATGATAAAAACCACATGGTACTGGCAAAAAAACCAGACCCGAGAGTCAGTGGAACAGATTAGAAGATGCAGAAACAACTTCAGATATACTCAGCTACCTTATCTTTAACAAAGGAGCCAAACACCTTCAATTTTTTTCTCTCTCTCTTTTCTTTTTCTTTTTTCTTTTTGGTGGTAGTGGTGAGGATACTGGGGTTTGAACCCAGGCCTTCCCACTGAGCTATATCCCTTGCCTTCTCTTATTTTGTATTTTGAGACAAGGTCTGGCTAAGATGCTAAGTTGCCCAGGTGGGGTTCAAACTTGCTATCCTCCTGCCTCAGCCTATCAGAATGTTGACATTATAGGAATGTGCCACCACACCCAACTGCAAAGTGTCTGTTACTGTCCTCTCCTCATGAAACTTCCATGACTCCCTGCTGCCTGTTTCCCCATGGAATTCCTGGTGCACTTGGTGTCACACACACACACACACACGCACACACACACACACGTTGTCTCTTCCTCTCCTACTCCTGCCCACCTTGTCCACTAACTCCTCCAACCCTAGCCTCTTTTCCTTCTCTGAATATGCTAATGTGCATGCTCCTACCTCAGAGCCTTTTACTTGCTGTTATCTCTGCCTCAGATGCTCTTCCCTTCTTCCTCCAAACATCACAAAATGTTTACAAATTATTTGACTCTCTTCCCTTTTAGAGTGTAATTCATGCCCTTTTGTGGTTTGATCCTAAGGGCTGGAATAAAGCAGAAGTGATGGTGCAGGATTTCAGAGGCTATGTCATAAAAAGCCCAGTGGCTTCCCTTACATCTGACTCCCTTGGATGGCTCGTGCTAGGGGAAGCCAGCTCCCAAATCATGAGGGCATCAAGGCAGCTCTGGGAACAGAGAAACAGGCCACCTGCGTACAGCTTCTGTGTGAGCCATGCCAGAAGCAGACCCTCTGCTTGTCATGCACACCTTCACACACCTGCTGCCCTGGCCAGCTGCTTGCTCCACTGCAGCCTCCCGAGAGCCCTCCAACCAGAACCACCCAGATTCCTGGCCCCAAGACACCCAGAGATAGTCAGCCTTTGTTGTTTGAAGCTTCTAAGTTTTGGGGCAATGTTATGCAATGGTAGATAATATGGTGCTTCCTCATTCCTCATTCCCATCAAGCTTCACCTGCAGTGTTACTTTCCTAGATGCCTTCCTTACCTGGTTGTTTAAAAATTGGAATTTCTACAGCAAGTTGAATCTCCATCTGTGATTCATTGCTCTCCATAGCCTTCGATAATCTGTTGTCCTCTCCTTATTGGAGTACCATAAGTTCCTTGGAGGCAAAAGATTTTTCTGTCTTGTATCTTGGTATGTGGTAAGTGCTCAGTAAATATGTGCGGAATAAATAAACACACGCAGCAGGGTCATTCTTCTATAACCCGTGATTGAATCTGAGGCTCCCATTTTTAAATCTTGTTCCAATGTGATTTTTCATTCTTAAATCTAGTTTATTAGTACATGTGTGTAGTGCATAATGTTTACACTCCTTGTATGGAGTTAGTACATGTACATAACACATCTTTTTTCATCCCCTTTTTCTTCCCTTTCTTTCCCCTTCCTTACCCACCCTTAAATCCCTTTTCCTTTAAGAGAGATCATTTCCTAACTTACTATTATCTATCCTTTATTTTGATCTTTATTTTTACTCTGGCTTTCTCATGTAAGAGGAGAAGCCATGTGATATTTAAACTTGTGTGTCTGATTTGTTTTATTTAACATTATGGTCTCAAGGTACATCCATTTTCCTACAAATGACCAAGTTCATGCTTCTTTATGGCAGAATAGTACCCCATTGTGTATAAATTCCACATTTTCTTAATCCATTCCCCTGTTGATGGATATACAGCCTGCTTCCAAGATTTAGCTATTATGAATTGTGCTGCTGTAAACATGGGTGAGCATACATCACTATAATATGATGTCTTTAACTTGGGAAGATACCTACAACCGCTACAGAAATCAATATGGAGGTGCTATTTTTTTCTAAGGATTCATTTTGGGCTTTTTTCCCCCTTCACTGTCACACAGTCTGGGAAAGGCCACTTGGTTTGGGATAGTGACAAGGCCATCCATCTTCTTTCCTAGACTAGGTTTGCTATAAGGACAAGCACCTTGAAGCCAGGTGGGTTATGTCTTTTGTACTTGACCGATGATCAGTTTCCAAGGTGCTGAATCTAGTCAAATGGATTCCAAAAGACACAAACAGTCCAAGCAGCAGCTATCCCAAGGGGAAGCTAATCTGATCGCCCTTGTTGGCGGGACATTCAGCTCTGTCATGGGTGGCGAGCCCGCAGTCATGTGGTACCAGTGCTGCAGCTGTATCAACAGGTCTGTGGCAGGTCTGCAGCAGGTCTGCACAGAACATAGCCAGAGACTGACTTTCAAATAAAGGAGAAAGAACAAGTAGGTAAAGGAACCAGGAACTCTTTTGTATGATGAAGAGTTGTTGGCAGGCCTGGATCAGAGGAGACAAATCCTATAATGAGGGCCTGAGTTCTTAGAAAGCCCAGGGCCTGCTCAGGTTGTATAATCGCCTCTGCTGGTTATTTGGTCACCAGCTGGGCGTACATATCTTGGTGCCCTTCCAAAAGGTGGTACATCTTGACACTTTGACCAGAGGACCTCCACCCCAGCCTTGGATGACTGCGATGTCCTGGGATACAGTGTCTGCATTGTTACGATGGTCTGTACTGATCCCTCACGTGGTAACACAACAGCATGTAATAAAAAGGTGGCTTTGGAATTCACTGTATTGCATGTCCTTTGGGTGACAGGTGAACTCAGGGAGGGACCTGGGCAGTTGGGAACTGGGCAGTTAGGAACTGCGGCTCAGGCCTTACTTCACATCAACCAGCTATGGAGCGTGCCTCATCTCTCCAGGTCTTCTGCCCTCAACTGAAAAATGGCTGCTTTTCTACCTCCCCTCTCTCTTTCTGGTTCCATTTTTTTCTGAGCTGCTGGAAACACTGAGAAAAGAACCATGAGTGGCAGCTCAAGCGCAGAATCTGTGCAGGGCCAGGGCTGTTGAATGTTACTATTATTTGTTATGCTAGTCATCAGCTGTTGTTTAGTTAAGGCTGGTATTCCCATTGGCCCAGGGTACTATGGCTGTGAGAAAGTCCACTTCAGGACCCCTGAGGGAAGTTTCCTCCACATTCCTGGGATTGGAATTGTCCAGTATGACTCTGGTGATCCCCAACTCCCCCACATCCCACCTCTCCCTCTGACCCCTTCTTTACTAGTCTCTTCTTACCTCTGGAAATTAGCAAAGTCTAACTCATACTTCACCCTCGGTGTCAAGCACTTGCAAATAGCTTGCTGTATCAGATAGGTAATTTTAAAAAGGCTAATCCAATGGGCGTAGCTCTGGAGAGGATTTTAAGGAGGGGGACAGGAAGCCAGAGAGAAAAGTCCTGGGCTGGGAAGTCCCCAGGGCTCAGGTGCCTCTGACTTGACTCACCTTCGGCAGCACCTTGCCCTCTAGTGTGGAAACGGCACGGGTGGATCCTTGTCACGGGACAGGTTACAAACAGCACAGGGATTAGCAAGCCCATCCCCATACTCCAGGTTCAAGGGCAGGGAAAGTTACCAGTTTAATTCCGGCTGCTCACTGGCGGTAGAGCACCAGGAGGGTGTGCGTATAGGTGCCAGCACAGAAGGGACAGGGGTCACTGGGCACAGGGCTTGCTTCAGTTTCGGCGCTGGGACATCAGGCCTGAGTGGATCTGGTATGGAAGACCTCTGTCTCACACTGTAAAGGGACGTTAGTGTCTCCATATTCTGTTCACAGGGAGCTCACAGCGAGGCGCTTTCGCCAGTGACCCCAGTGAAGTTCTCCGGGGTAGCAGCAGGCCCACAGGGCCACTGGGCTCACCGCCCAAGACTGCGCGGTGACCCTGGCTTTGGCGGCGGGAACTCGGGGACTCTTTTCCAGGGCCGCGCCCGCAGGGTGGCCACTTCTTTCCCTCTCCCGCCGCTTTCTCCCGCCTCCCGGGGTTGGGCGCTCTGGTCCTTGACGAGGACCTTGGAGGAGACAGGCTCCCCTCCCAGTTGCTGGCTTCCAGGCCGGCGCCGCGCGCAGATCAGGCAGCCAAGGGGACAATCTCTTAGCGCCGGGGCCCCCTGCCTGGCCTGCGGGCCGGGGAGGCGCTGAGCGTGCCCATCTCCCCCCCGGATTCCTGGCACGCGGTCATGGGCGCGGAAGCAGCCCCCAGCTGTCGGCCGGGTGCAGGGCGCTCCCTCGTCCCCGAGGGGCAGCATCCAGTGGCAGCCAGCGCTCGCCCGCCCGCCCCGCTCCGCCCTTCCGGGCCCCCGCGCCCTCTGGGCATCGCCTTCCAGTCCCCAGGCCTGGAGAGCAGAGGGGCGTGCGCGGGTTGGCTGGCGTCCAGGACGCCGATGCGGTGGTGGCGCCGCGCCCTACACAGTGCACACAGCAGCGCAGCGAGCCGAGTGCAGGCAGCCCCGGCTCAGGTAAGCGGCTGCAGGCCCGCGGTTCCTGCGCCCCGAGTGGCAGTGTGGGGGTGCCGGGGACCCTGTTCTCCACCCTCGCCCCGGGAACCACGCGTCCAGACCCTAGGGGCTGCCCGAAAACCCACAGAACTCTTTTCTACAGAAGATCTTTGTCTCTCGTTACCTCGCTCGCCAAACCCACTAGAACTTTGGGCCTGGAGAGATGCTGTTGATTTAGAAATGTCTTTTGAAAATTTGGCTCTCGTGAGGGGAATTTGGCTTTGGGGAAATTAAGTTTAGATTGGTATTTGGAAATGTTTTAATTTTCTGTTAGTGTGGCAGTCTCAGTGTGTCCCTTTGTGAGTGTGAGAGTGTGTGTGTGTGGAGGCCCGAGGCTACCATAACACTTTTGGATCAGGTGTTCTTTCTGCTAGACCAGGGAAAAGAAGTCCAATTTGGGGCATGTTTATTTTATTGGTGTTTGAGAATTTGTCTTCCCACAGGTGAAGTCTGGTGACTCACTGCAAAGTTAAAATACCAGGAATACAGTGACTTTCAGATAGGAGTTTGTAGCTGAGAATCACCCTTATGTCCCAAATCGGCAAAGGAAATATAGGATGGGGGGGGGGAGTTTTTACACTAGTGCATTACTTTAAGCCTTTCTCTCAGCTTAACAACATCTTCATAAAGCGTGGTTTTTCCAAGTGTGAGGTGAAAGCTTATTTGCCTGCTGTATTTCCCATTTTTCTCTGACTTCCTTCTGATTCTATCATACTTTTTCCTGGAAAAGTACTTCCTGGGATACAATCAGCTGTCTGCTTTTTTTTTTTTTTTAACCTAATCAGTCCTTCCTTCCTTCCACATGGTCTTGGTTTGTCAAGATGGTCTTGACCTTAGAGCCTCAGTCTCGCACTCCTCAGTGTGTGATCAAGGATTGGGGGAGCACAAATATTTTTACAAGTTTTCTTTCCTTGTGTAAGTTGGCTTGTCTTTTCGAGTCCCCCACTTAAAATCTCTAAAGATAACTGGATGATAGAGTCAGCACTGTGTAAACTAGACAGCTCTTGACCAACTATTTGATAAATGTAAATATAATACCTTTGGAGCACAGGGCTCTCTGGTGATTTTCTGGCAAGTGCTTTCCCAGTTGGTTCCACTTGTATTCTTTCAGAGTCAATTTCTCCTGCCTTTTTAGTGCTTTGTAACTGGTGATTTTGTTGGCTACTTATTTTCACTGAGTGTAACCTCTTTGTGGAAGTGGGTGGCAGTGTGAAGGAGGGTGAGTAGAAGCCACCTGCTTTAAGGTACTTGCTATTTTGGAGATGGGGCTCCACTTGCTCTGCAGGGTCATCCCAGGCCCCCAGGCACCTGTGTGTGTGTGTGTGTGTGCAGTCCCAGTGTAAGCCTGTCTTTCCCTTCTGTTGAGACTGCTTGACTTGGATCTTCTGTAGATGGAGCCTTAGAATAATGCATGAAATGAAAAGCTGCTGAAGTCTAAAACAGGAAATGGAACTGAACAAAAATTTACTGACTTGGAAATGCTCAGAGCAGCTTTGATGAAGTGTGGGGCATGGCAAATCAGCAACCCCCGTGGTTCTTCCCTCTTTCCCCACTGTCTTATTTTTGCCTGGGGGAGTGAGTTTGTAAGACTCCCAAACAGGAAAAGCCACACCCAGTTTTATTTTATTTTATTTTTACAATACTCTTATCTCGGATGCATGGTCATTGAATTTTCCCCCTTTTTTTGAGTATCTCCATAAAATTTCACATTTAGGAGTTTCTGAATGCCAGTGCTTCTGACTCAGAAACCAACTCATTGTTCTACAGTGTATGATTTCATCCTAGGGTGATTTCTGAAATGGCCAGCAAAAGAACAGGGCTGGTCAGAAAGACGTGTGCCCACTTTAATGAGGCATTTGTTTGTGTTTGCAGATTTCTGAAGCCAGTTGGAGTGAAAGAAACCCATCCCATCTCACCTCCGGGAAGGAACCTTTTCTGACCATGTCTTCCATAGCCATTGCTGAACCAGATGGGGATGAGCAGGACAGGGGTGCCAGCAAGCTCATTTTCTTCCTCTTTGTCTTTGGCGCTGTCCTGTTGTGTGTGGGACTCCTGCTCTCCATCTTTGGGTACCAGGCATGCCAATATGAACCTCTCCCAGACTGCAACATGGTGCTGAAGATTGCTGGGCCCTCATGTGCAGTGATAGGGCTCGGTGCTGTGATCCTGGCCCGCTCCCGGGCAAGACTTCAGCTCCTGGTGAGAAGGCGGCAAGGCAACCAGGTCGACTCTGACCAAGCTTTCCTCTGTGGAGAGAGCCGCCAGTTTGCCCAGTGCCTGATCTTTGGGTTTCTGTTTTTGACAAGTGGCCTGCTCGTTAGCATCCTGGGCATTTGGGTCCCTGGATGTAGCTCAGACTGGGCACAGGACCTGCTGAATGAGACGGACACTATCAGTGCAGAGCCCCAGATCTGTGGGTTCCTTTCCCTGCAGATCATGGGGCCTTTGATTGTGCTCATGGGATTGTGTTTCTTTGTGGTTGCCCATGTTAAGAAGAAAAACAACTTGAGTGTGAGCCAGGATGCCTCTGAAAGTGAAGAGGGACATGGCCCCAGCACAGAGCCTGTCCAGGTCACTGTAGGTGAGTGCAGTTGTTCCTGCCCTTGTTCATATCACCACAGCTGTTGCTTCAAGTCTTCCCTGGGCTGGTCTGATTTAGGCAGTCTGTCCCAAGTCTTCTCTCCCATGCATACACACATACCCACACACACATCCTTCATGTACACGTAGTATATTGCCCTGGAAGCCCCACAGGAATCCTTGTGCACATTATTTCCTCCCAATTATTTAGCAAAAGGAATGGGACATCTAACTGGTGACCTTGACTGAGGTCATAAGGCAAACTAAGAGAAGTAAGAAGAATCATGAACACCGCCTTAGAGCCTTCCATCACACCGAGTAACTTCTACTTCCCTGTTATTCTCACACTGAAACCTGTAGCACTCTCTGTTGTGGGACAATTCTGGCCATCACTGGCCAGCTGTTCTTGATAAATCCTTAACCTCCCCTGGCTTAGTTTATATATCTGTAAAAATGAACATTGCAATTTTTTGATTCCGTCCAGCATGAGCATCCTAGGAGTCCAAGTCTGTCCCAAGTCCATCGGTCTTCAGATGGTTTGCTGCGGGGGGCGGGGGGGGGAGGTCTGTACTGCTTTCCAGTCTGTTCTTCACTTTCTGTAACTTCATCCTTGGATGCAGGGATGGCCAAGGTTTGGAAGCAATGGCACAGACTGAGATGAGGTGGGCCACAGCAGTTCTGTCTTCCATAGAATGCCTAGAAATTCCTTTGGGTCCCTGGATTCTGCAGAAGGAGTGGATCACCATTTCCCAGAGGGCCTCCCTCCCAGCTCTGTTGCTGGCTTTGACATCAGCTGCACACACTCAGGGAAAACTTCATCTACTCATTTGCAAGTCCCATTTTATTTCAGCCTACTGCTTTGGAAAGGTTAAAGCTCTGATGTCACAGCCTTGGCATTTAAAAGACTGGGTTAAAAGGGCTCCAGGGCAGAAGTGGTAGAAGGTACAGAGAAGTGTGACAGGTGAGGTGTTCCTGGGCTGGGGCTTTCTGCTGTAAACTGCTGCATTCACTTGCTGGCTACAGAATGGAAGACGGAGCCACTGCTGGCTTGGCGTGGCAGCAGCCTTGGAGGGGAGAACACTTGGATTTGAGCCAGAGCAGATGCTCTCATTTCACTTACACATGCATTTATGTTTATGGTGACAGCAGAAATATTAATTATATATTAACCACTTACAGAGGGTCTATTTCTGGGCCAAATGCCCTCTAGGTGTTTTAATGGGCCCACTGTGCCAAAGCGAGATATCTACAGCAGACCAGTAAGGCTGACTTACTATCTCCTGGTTGGCTATGAAGAAAGGGAGGGATGGAGATAGCAAATAACTGTCCCAAGGTCACAAATGAGCAAGTGGCAGAGAAGCATCCAGACCCAGGTGGGTGGGTGGTGCACAGCACATCCTGGCACAGCGCCCTTGCCTGAGCACTGGGGTGTGATTATTCATCCTTTACCAGGTCCTTTTAGTACTTATTACTTGAGAAAAAGGCTCCCCCAGTGCTACAGATGATCTCAGACCTTTTGGGGAGCACACTGGGGCATAAAGCAATTCGTGGGGTGCTTAACCTGTTGGAGCTTTGGAGGAAGCTCTTTGGGTTTGCTAGCAGGGCAGTTTGAAGCCCAGCCTCCCACCTGGTGTCTGGAATTGGGTGCAGGAAGGGAGCAGAGTGGCAGCTGCTGTTCCTGGACAGGGTCAGGTGTCAGTGTCCTGAATCTGGCTGTGATAGTTCACAACCTTTTCCATTTAACCCATCAAATCTGGGAAATGGCATCACTCTTCTCCCCGTGGAGGCCGTGGGAGAGTTTATGTGTTAGGGCGCTCTCTCTACAGTGGACGTGCTCAGTGCTAGATCTTGGGCACACCAGCAGGTTGTATGAGACAGCTTCCTCCTGCAGACGTGGATGGTGTCACTGCTTAGAGGACAACAGGTTCTGAAAGGTGTAGTGAAAGGGGAAGCTGGGAGACAGGAGCTGGCAAGATGTGGATGCCTGCTGATTGGGTAGTGGGATGGCGCCCTTGGAGATAACAGGGCCACTCGGAGCATTTCCTTGTTTGTTTTTGACAGGTGACTGCCTGCCCTGGAGGCTTGTTTCACACATCCTGCATTCTGCCATTGTGTAATTAAAGTGAACACTCTCAGCCCTAATTCCTTTGACCTACTGAGACCTTTTAGCAGCTTAAAAAGCTAGACCCAAGAGAGCCCTTGTGCTTTATCAGGTTGAGATTAGAGGGCTGTATTTTAAGATGTAATTGCCATTTGTTTGCAGACAGGAGATGGAGTTAATGCATTTTCTGAAAGATTGAGTTATCTGTGGGGTTGTGATTGAGGCTTCAGGCTAGAGACTGCCAGTGGGAGTATAGTACTTCCAAGTGTGCTCTGAGGCAGGCACTGTTCCCCTGCTGGTGACAGCTGTGGCAGCTGAGGCCCAGAGAGGTCAGAGAGTGTGTTCAGGGCCATGCTGGGTTGGTCATTGGCAGATGGAACTCCTTTGCCTTTAAAGAACCTGTCAGATTTGCCACCAGTACCAACCAGTCTTCTCCCCAGGCAGAAATAAGTTCTCTCTCCTCCTCCATTCTTCATGGTGTGACCGCCTTAGCAGAGGCCTTCCTTGAACCTGTAGTAGTGGGGCTGCGACACACCTAGAATGTTCTGGGCACCTCCTTTGCTGCAGTGCATTGGAGTCCCAACATACTAGAATGGAAGTACAAGTTAGAGCTTGGTCCCTACTTTCTCCTGAAAACACGTGGATGTGTTCTGGAGCTAACAATAGCAACAGAAATACAAAAACCCAGCTTCCCTTTGAGTTTGACCTTCATCTGTGCAGCTTGGGTAAGTTTTGGTGGGCTGACTGGCAGAGCATGGGTTATTGTCATGTTCAGAGGCTAGAACTACATTTGAGGAACTGACCCTTTACCCCAAAACTGGCTTTTGATTAAAACCATCAGGTGAACATGAGGTAAACATTTCCTGTTCCAGCAGTAAACATTTCCTGCTCAAGGTGAGGGAGCTTGTTAGCAAGTGCCGCACATGAGTGTGTCAGCTCACACTCGCCAGGAAAGAGAGGCCGTGTCCATACTGTGATGAGGAGCACTCGGGCTCTGAAATATAGGTTCACTTTTTAAAATTTGCAGCAAAATATATGTAACATAAAATTTACCATTTTAACCATTTTCAAATGTATGATTCAGTGGCATTAAATGCATTCATAGTGTTGTACAACTGTCATCCCTGTCACTTTGCAGAATTTTTTCCATCATCTCAAACAGAAATTTCCCCTTCCATTCCCCTCTCCAGCCTCATCCCAGCCCCTGGTAGCCTGTTCTACTTTACACATAAAATGGATAGGACTACTTTTTAATTCTGGTGTGAGGAGCAACTGTTTTGACATTTGATTGTATATAGATGGAACTAATGTTAGAATCAGTTTATTTTGCTCTAGGTAATTTGCCTCCATTTATTACCCCTCTGTCTTCAACCAAATATTGTGTTTCCCCAGGTGACTCGGTGATAATATTCCCGCCCCCTCCACCACCATACTTTCCTGAGTCTTCCACATCTGCAGGAAGTCAAAGTCCTGGGGCCAACAGCTTGCTGCCCACTGACAGCCCTCCTCCCTATTTCAGCCTTTTCAGCCATGGGTAAGACTTCCCCTTGGGATCTCAGAGTGGGCTTGTGTGAACTTCTCAGGCATAGGCCTAAACTTGGACCAAACTAGCTTTAGGGCTGAGGTACAACAACAGTAAGTATTAGACTATCGAGTATCTCGTTTGCTGGTATTATGTTAGGATTGTTGCCTTGACATTAACAGTACTTATCAGGAAGCTTTGGGCAGCACTAAGTTAAGTGATAGAGTGGTTAAACTGGGGAAATAGGACTCCTTTTCCAGTCTCTATGCACTCCTAGCAGAGGTGGCCCTCAAAATGTCTCAAAGCCCATCAGTCAGACTGAACCCTGCAGCACTGGCTGGGGGACCCTTCCATGTTAGAGATCACTGCTTTAGATTCTGGGGAGGTTTGGGACCCCCCAGCTGGTACAGAAAATTTCAGTGCTCTGACGGAGGAGCTTGGGTGACTGGCTAAAGTCAGTGCCAGTGTCTCAGCTGGTCAGGGAGCTCCCTGGTCCTCTGAGCCTTCAAAGGTTGACCAAGGAGAAGCCTGAGGCCCACACCCCAGTCCACTGAAATGGGGCAGGTCTGAGGCCTTGGGAGACTGGAGCAGCAAGAGGGTCACCTGCCACCCGGTGTTGAGGAAGAGGGGGCTCTCCAGGGTGAGCTGTGGGGCAATGGAGAGGTCCCCAACTGTGAAGGAGGTGGAGACCAGCTCACTAGGCTGGGAGAAGGCCCGGCTGGCTGGAGGTCGAGCGACAGTGAGGGGCGATGTTAGAGGGAGACTGGAAGGGGCTGGGTCTTATGAAAGAGTGGAAGCACAGAGATGTTCTGGAAACCAGGAGGGCAAAGAGTCAGAGTGCTGCAGACAGCAGGGGAGGCAGGTATGCCCAGAAGGAGTTCTGGGAAGTGCCAGGCAGGGGAGGGCTTTTGCAGCCCCCAGAAACGTGGCCCAGGGGAAGCAGTGCCAGAGAAGGCACTGGGAACATCTTCCCAAAGGAGATGCCAGGGAGAAGAAGGGAGGGAAGCATTGCTGGGAAAGGTCGCAGGACAAAGGAGAAGAGGTCGGTAGGACCTGGTGAGATCGGCTTTCCTGACCAGGAAATGATGCTGTTTTGAGAGCAAGGGAAGTGAGGTTCACAGGCCCTGGTGACCACTTCTGGGAATAGCTACTAACTTCTTTGTGTTTAAGGTCCACTTTCTACCTCCTCAACTCCAGGGAGCACCCTGTGGAGTCAGGAGCTCTCTGCGCCCCCTCTTCCCTCAGGTAGAGCAGGCCATGGTGTGTGGGACCTAGACACAGGGGCTGGGGTACACCTGTCTTAAGGTTCTGGAGGGAGTGGAGCTGTGTAGAGACTCTTTTTCCAAAAAAGTAGGGGGCCAGTTACCAGAAGAGGTGGAGAGACAGGTGCCAGGTGAGGATGGAGGGGGCAGGCAAACTTCACAAGGGTGGGCAGTGAGCAAGTGAATGGAGGAGTCATCCTGTGGAGAGAAAGGCCGGGTTTTGGCTAGACATTTGAGAGTTCTAGTAATGAATTTTTTATTTTTTCCTCTCGGAAGACAAAGTTCCCTGAACCCTAAAATTGATGTCTACTGACATAAAATAAACTGCTGCTGCTGTACATGCATTCTATTTGGCTGCATCTAGACTTTTGAACTCAGTGCCTTTTCAGCGACAGAGAATGACAACAGGAGCAAGTCTGTCTTAATGTTACAAGCAGCTCTAAGAAAAGTAAGGGGTGAGGAATAAAACAGACCTATAAAAAGTCGAATGTGGAGGAAATTACCCCTTAGACCCAGGCAGATACTCCTAAATGCCTGTCATTAAGCCTGTGAAAGGAACCTAGTACTTATGGATGTCACTGTTTTCATCTTCTCCCCTTCTTGGTCCCTGTCCTTCTTTTCAGCAGGACCTCAGCCCTTGAGAACCAGGACACAGCCCATGAGCAAGAGCATGAATTTGTATACACCATTTCTGGGCCTCACTCGCCTCCTGAGATCACACATGCTCCGAGAGTTTTATTGGAATTGCCCCCGAGATATGAGGAGAAAGAAACTCCCACAGCCACATCTTTGTCTCTACCTTCTGAGCTTTCTGCACCATGAACTTTGGACTCCAGGGCAGTTTTATATATCATGGGACACTTTTATTTAACTTGTTTTTTAATAAAAAAAAATGTGATAGCTTTGGCTGTGTTCCCATTTTCTGGTACAATGTCCACAGAAGTGACCAACCTTCCAGGTTAGATTCCAGATTATGGGAAAAGCATTGTCCCTGCTGGCCAGACATGGCACACTGTCTTCTCAGTCTTGGGAGTAGGTAGGGTTATTTTTATGGGTGGATAAAGAAACAGGTTCAGAGAGGCTAATTGACTTCTTCAGGGTCACACAGCTTCTACATGATGAGGTTGGGTTTTGAACCAATCCGTTTTCTGAAATTCAGCCTCCTGTCACTACTTTGTGCTGTCACAGGCCAACAGAAGTTAATGTCTAGCTTGCTACATTCTGTCTCCAGTGTTACTTGCTTTTGGAGCAGAGAAACAAGATTATAGACATTCCTTATTTAACAAGCAAGTTCTGTTTGTGTGACTAGGTCAGTAAATGAATTGGTTGCTAAGTGAGGAATTGTATATAGTATGTACAATATGCAGAACAAAGAAATGGTCAAAGGAAACTCCAACTTGATGACTTTGCTTCTATTTGCATAACTCTTACATGCAGTACTGTAATGTATAACAAAAGGAAAAACTACAGTACTGTGCTGTATACTACAGCCAGCAAAAATTATAGTATTGTGTAAACAAGATGTACTGTACAAAAAAAAAGGCATTGAGGCTCTATAAACAAGATGTACAGAAGCGTACAAATAAAAAGGATGGCTCGTTAGTCCGAACAGTCATTAAACAAATAGTTTGCTAAACGAGGAACATCCATACTGTCCTAATTTTTTCTCCTTCTCCTGCTTCTTTCTCCTCTTCCTGTTCCTCCTCCTTGCTTTAGGGAGCCTGTAAGTAGGGACAGTTAAAAGCATATTGATATCCTGGGGTCTCTGTAATATAGTGGCATTTCTCGAGGACTTATTGGGATACTTTTCCAACTAGCTTCCCCTTCAGGGGTCCAAGAAGGATTTGTATTGGTATGAAACAGTCTGAACAATTGACTTTTTTTTTGGTACCAGGGATCGAGCTTGGGTCCTTGCACCGGAGGGACAGGTGGTGGAACCACTGAGCTAAATCCCCGGCCTGAACAATTGACTTTTATTCTTAAAAGAATACTACTAAATGAAAGCTTTTATACAGTTGGGTACAGTAATATATTTAATTCTAGATATAAACTTTAAGAAATATGACTGTTAGTATCTCTCCCTGGGAGAAACTGATTTTTTAGAATATGAAATCTGTAGTTAATTAGCATTTTAGTTTTGTTGCAAAGTTGGGTGTAACAAAATTGCCAGTGTTTTAGGCCTTTTCCACAAACCTTAATCCCCACACAGGTCAAGGATTCTGTACCACTCAGGTGGCTGAGAGCAAAGCCACAGGCATGAAGGTGACAGAGACTTAGCTGTGGTGACAACCGATTTTACGTGAAGTGCTGTAAATCAGGGATGGCCATCTGTATCAGCAGTCCTAATCCATTTTTAAGTTAGATATTTACTGGATTGAACTACTCTTAAAATTCTGCCTTTTTTTCCTCCTGGAAGGTTAATTATTCACATTTTAAAATTAGAACAAAGAGTAGATTGCTGCTACTTCCTTCTGCTGTTATTTGTTTAAAATGACCAAGCTGAAACTTCTAGGTAGAATTACTTTTAAACAATTATGAGTTTTCATATGCAGTTAAGAGCCTTTACAATGGCTCAAAGTTGGGGCTTGTAATTGAGTATTTTACAGCTAATAAACTTAAAAGGCAGTTGGCGATGCTTAGGAGTCATTTTGGCCTTCTGGGTGGAGGAATCTATTCTGCCTCAACAGTTCTTTGCAGTATTTTCCTCCTAGGCACTGAAGCCATGGTTTGTAAACCCCCTGGCAGTGAAAGGGTCACTGGAGATGCCTGACAAGGTTCTGGACAAGGGTGACTATTTCTGAGAACCCACTTGATGGATTCTAACTTGCTTTAGTTGTGTGTTAATTTTCCTTTTTTATTGGGGTAAAATTTGTGTAGCAAAACTAACTAACCATTTTATTCCTTTTTTTTTTTTTTTTGGTAGTGCTGGGAATTGAACCCACAGGCTTGTGCCTGATATGAGTGCTCTGCCATTTAACTACATCCCTAGCCCCAAATTAACCATTTAAAAGTTAACAATTCAGTGATATTCACAAGGTTGTACAAACCATCACCTCTATCTGATTCAAAACATTTTCATCACCCTAAAACAAATCCCCATGCTTATTAAGCAATAAGTCCTCCTTCTCTCCCTCATACCACCACTCCCAACCCCTGGCAACCACTGATTTGCTTTCTGTTGCTATGGATTTACCTATTTTTGTGGTTCATACAAGTAAGATTATACAGTGTGTGACTTTCTATGTTTGGATTCTCTTGTTTAGTATGTTTTCAAGGTTTGTCTATGTTGTAGCATACATTAGCACTTTATTCATTTTCATAGCCAAGAACTATTCCATGGTATGAGTGCACCACAATTTGTTTAACCATTCATCCATTGGTGGATGTTTGAGTTGTTCCTACACTTTGGCTGTTGTGAATAGTGCAGCTTTGAACATTTATGTGCAAGTATTTATTGCAGTACTTGGTTGTTGTTGTTTTTTAAAATTTTTTTGGCTTTAATACCTAGCTGTGTATGGGTGGATCACAAGCCAACTTTATATTTAAGGTTTTAGTTCTTATTTTGAGATAGGATCTAAGTCATGAAGTTGCCCCAGCAGGCTCAAATTTGCGAACTTCTTGCCTCAGCCTCCCAGAGCACTAGGACTAGGGTTGTGCTACCAAGTCCAGCTTATGGTTAAGTTTTTGAGGAACCTCTATAGGGTTTTCCACAGTGGTGCATCATTTTACATTCCTCCTTGCAAAGCATGAGAGTTCCTATTTTTCTACACTCTCACCCACATTTATTTTTCATTAAAAATGATTACAGCTATTCTAGTTGATATGAAAGAGTATTCCATTGTGGTTTTGACTTGTATTTCCCTAATAGCTAATGATATAGATTATCTTTTCATGGATATGGCTTATTTCTGGATACCAGACATCCCCACCAGCACACAAAATCTTAGATTGTTATGGTTTGTCCCTCAAGACTCATGCAGAACATTAGTCCCCAAAGTCATACGTGAATGGTGTTGAGGGGAGAAAGTTAATTCAACCATAGCATTTACAGGTCAGGCCTTTGAGATGGGGTTAGGTTTAATAAGGCCATTAGAGTTGAGCCCTATGATTGAATCTGGGTGGCTTGTAAGAAGGTCAGAGACCAGATGCACAGACACAGGGAAAGATACATATGTGCAGCTGCCATGATGCGATTTAGCCAAGAGTGAGGTTTGCCAGAGCCTGTGCTGTGCTCTTTGGACTTTCAAAATCATGAGGTAAACAAACCTCTTTTCCTTATGAGTTACCCTGTCTTAGGTATTTTGTTATAGTAATGAAAAACTGACTAATACATAGATCTTATTCTAGATTTTCCTCTTCTGGTATTGGGAGGTCTGATGTCCCCACCTTATATAAAATAGTAAGGAGGTCTGCAAATTCAGGCAGGATGACTCACACGTGGGAGGAAGTAGCATGTTGCCTGTCTCACTGTGGAGACCCCTTCTTGTGAATTCTTTGTTCTCCCCTGGCATCAGGTAAGTGGACTAACTCATCCAACTAACTTCTGTGGAAGCTAAAGCATTTGTGACTAGGAAGGCGCTTTTGGTGTTTCTTTGTCAACATATGAATGACAGAGGAACAGGACAGCTGAGGGATGCAGGTGTTCAGATGGTGACAGCAGAGGGTAGGCAGGCAGATATTCACTCAGTTTCCTCCTGTGGTTTGCAGTGGGGCTGGGGACATGGCAGGAAGTGATAGGGGCTCCCGTCCTCCTCTGGGCCTAGTTGTTGGCCTGCTCACATGGAGGTTGTCCAGAGGCCTGAGGCCCTGAGGGGCTTCCTCTTTAGAGGGTACTGTTGATCCAGGGTAGGCCTCAGGAAAAAGTTGGAAAGGGAGACACAAACTAGAGTGGAGAGGCCATGGGTGGTCTCTGGGTCTGCAGGGAGCTGCCCTGGGGCACATGCGGCACCCAGGGCTGAGGGCATCTGTCAGGTGTCCCAAACTTCTGTGACGTTAGGAGTGGCCTGGGACAATTGCTGAGGATGTGAAATTTCCAAGACCACTGAGTCTAAGCCTCTAGGAAAGTAACGTTTAGCATCCTGGGATCTGGGAAACACTGTGTGGGGGAACAGCACAAGGAAACTTCACAGGCAGCACCTTGTGGACTGGATACCTGAGGACCCCTAGTGCCTTCTGGGCCTTCTGGGTCTTCTGGAGACTACTATTCGCAGGTTCCAGCTCTCCTAAGTGGCCTTGAGGAGAAGGTTGTGGGTTTATAGTTGGTCCCAAGTGTTGATGGGAGGACCAGCTTTCCAGGCAGCTGTGTCCATGACCCATGGGAAGCCCCCAGGGGAGTAGGGCAACAAAGCCAGGGTCAGATCGCATGCTACTCCTCTCCCACATGGGCAGTCCCCCTCCATTTCCAGATGGACAGATACTAGACTCATTTACTAAGGAAAATGTATGTCGTTTTATCTTGCTTCTTTGTCTTACAAGAGGCCAAGACTGAGCCCAGAGGGAGCACCAGAGATGTTTGTCAAAGCACACAGAGATGATGGCAACACTCCTTGGATCAAAATGAAAACTTCTTGGGATTGTTTAAGTGGAAAGTAGCTCAGACACCGTCCTGGAGAGGGCTCCTGCCTGCTGGTGCCTCTCTGTCCCTGGTGAACCAGGTTCCCTGATCAGGAAGCTATGCCCTGGCCCAGGAGCACCACCCACCCCATGCTTGGGCCACTCACGTGGGAGTGTCACGAGAGGAGAGGAAGTGAGGAAGTCTGCTGTGGGGGTGGGAACGGGCATGTGAGCGACACCTGCTGACTTGAAGGGGAACCATGCATGACCGGCCACCAGCCCTCCTGGGGTCATGCATACCTGGGATTCCTGGAGTAGCATGCCTGCTGCCACCAGTCAAAGTACTTCAAGAGGAGCAAAGTGGAGGACTGATGCAGTTTCTTAATAAGGAATTCTGTGTGTGTGTTTCTGGCTGGGGGGAGCATGTAGCTGCTTGAAAATCCTGCTTGTCCCTGTGCAGTGACCTCAGCCAGAGCTAGAGGTGGGGCTGGTGCAGGAGTGTAGTGTGACTTCATACCTGGTGAGGCCAGTAACAGTCAGTGGACTGCGACAGGGTGGTGAGTGGGTGGTCCTTTAGCTCCTCTGTTCTCAGGCTGCCCAAGGCCTGCAGGGGCTGGAAGCTGGGCAGGCTGGGTGATAAGGGTAGATGAGCCACCATAGCTGTCCTGTGCCAAGCTACTCACAGGACATTTCCTTAAAGGCCTTTGAACTAGTAAGTGAGTCCTGCTGACTGGCACCAGATATACCCAATGGCTCATGTATTAGGGCTTAACACAAAGGAGGAAGACAGACTGGACCGAGGGGCTAGGAGCCAGCATATGGAGCAGTCTGGGGAGGTCCTGGGCCAGCCCCTGTGGGATGTGGTTCTTCCTAAACTCAGAGACTTTCTGGTGCCTGAGACCCTGCTC